TTCATTATATGAATATATATATATTCATTATATGAATATATATATATTCATTATATGAATATATATATATATATATATATATATTCATAAATATTTTGAAGTCTTGGAACTGTTCCCAAATGCTACCTGATTAAAAGGACCCATGATTTCTGTATGGGTCTCAATGTTATCCACAAATCAGGGTCTGATCCCCAACCCAACTCTTCCAAAAGATATTGTTATACATGAGAGAGTTTCCCAAACCTATTATAGACTATCAGGACAGACAAACTTTCTCTGGGTTTTAGCAGCAGTTTAATTATTCACCTTTAAAAAAAAATTATACAAGCTTTTCAACTTACCCCAATAGCTGCTAAGATTGGAGCTTGATAAATCCACCTGTCTCCCGCACTAAGTTCCCAGCACCTGAAATATTAAAAGGGATTTTCATGAATGAATTTGGCAAAGCAAAAGGTAATGAAAATTAAGTAACATTTCAGTTTTACCAAAATCTCTAGCCCTAAGCTTCTGATTAAGGAGACAAAGAGATGAAAAAAATCTTGAAACATCCAAACTAGTGAAAGAACGTGTCCCGACAGTCCCGATTTCATGCTTTAAATGGCCCTTATATAAGCAGGGTATTCTAAATATTAACATATTACTTTCATAGTGACCAGAGCCACATCAAGTACAGTCTTCTAAATGTGGTACAATTTATACTTTGCTTTTACTACCATTGAAATGAGATATAATATTACATTTTGTTGAGAAATTTTTCATTCTATCAGAAGTTATTTATTTTGTGAGTTCATAAATTGTAGGACACTGACAAGAAAACAAATCATTCTTATCCAGGAAAATGTAATAAAAAGCTGAATGCTGACTATTCTTGCCATAGAAATAAAAATTAGCTTATTCAGTGAAATGGAGTTGATGAGTGTCGCAGTCCGGCTGCAGCAAAATAACCGGGGGGTGACGAACAACTTGTGTACATTGATACAGCAGGAGTGGGAGCCGAGCCGTTTATTGTAGGACAGGAGCAGTATTTATACATTCCACACAGCTTATCTAATTAACATAAACTAGATACAGCAGCCAACCAATAAGGAATCTCCACACTCAATGACTCGCTAGCGTTACTTCACAAACCACTCCCTTTGGCAAAATGCCAGGCGCCATCCAGACTTGTTTACAGACTCTAACAGATGAGTTTTTGTATTTATTTGTAAATTTTCGGCATTTGTTTTCCTGAATATGAACATGTTGTTCTTTGATTTCTCTTTTGAACCAATTACGACATGTTATGAGCTCCTTCATTTAATGAGGATTTTAAAAAGCTTTGACAATGTTTACTTTATTTTGTATATCATCCATAATTTTTATATTGAATTTTTTAAAAATTATTTTAGCAGTACTTAATAAAAATACCACATAATTTATCTATTTCTTATACTTACTTTATGATTCCTAACTAAAATTTAAGTTCTATACGGGTAGGCATCGTTACTGCTTTTGTGTAGTGAGGTATTACAAGTGCCTAGAAAAGTATATAATAGGTAGATAATCAACAAATATTCATCAGCTTGCATTGACATAAATGAAATCTGAGGTAAGTTTGTCTCAATCTCACCTCATCTAAATTGAACTGAAGAAAGGTCTTACACACTGGAATAAACAGCACAAAGTGGTTTTAATTAAAAAAAAAATCTAGCTCCACTTAAAACTCTAATGTATCAATTTAAACAGTTTTTTTTTAAATTAAAAACACATAAATAACACCTTTCTATTTATTTTTTTCTTGGAGAAAACACAGCAGTGACTGTACGAACAGTAAATAATATCAAGAAATTCTGGGGATATAATGATAATTTTTTAATTAATAAATAAGTTACATTTTATTTGTGAACAAGTTATGAATAATAAAACTTTTTCAACTATGTCTTAAAGGAATATTCTTCCATACACACCTAACAATTTCTTAAAGTTTAATTTAATATGTTCTCATTTCAAAATTCAAAATATGCAAAAAGGCAGACATTGAGATGTCTCAGTCTCTCCTGTGGCTGTCTTCCTTTGTCCTTTCCTCTTATAGATAACATCTTTTACTGCCTTATTGAATGTGCTTCTAGTGTTTCTGACAAGAAGGCAAATCATTCGTATCCAGGAAAATGCAACAAAAAGCTAAATGCTATTCTTGCCATAGAAATAAAAATTAGCTTGTTTAATGAAATGGAATTGATGAGTTTTTGTATTTATGAATATATTAATATAAAACAAATACAGAAACTATATGAATATAAAACAAATACAGAGGTTACATTCTTATTTTCCTCTATTGCTGTAGTTTGGATCTTGACTATCTCCCAAAAGCCCGTGTCTTAAAAGGTTGTCCCAAGAGGCAGGGCCAAATGGAAGGAAGTTAGGTTATTAGGGGCATGTCCTTTATGAGCTATTAGGACCCCAATCCCTCCTCTCTCTCTCTCTCTCTCTCCCCCCCCCCCCCCCTCCCTCTCTCTCTCAATCTCTCTCTCTCTCTCTCTTTATTCCCAGGCTCCAAGATGAGCAGCCTCCTCTCCACATGCTCTCACCATGGTGTACTGTGCCACCACAGGCCCAAACCAAAAGGGCTGAGCAACCACAAATGAAACCTCTGAAACCACAAGTCAAAATAAACTCCTCCTCTTTTAAAGTTGATTATTTCAGGTATTTTGCTATAGTAACCCCAAGATAGCACACCTATATATAAATTTCTATATCAGTGCCAGGAGAGAGCAGTCATACAGCACACTTGTCAGATAAGTCATATGTATATTCCATTGCAGGAATGCATCATAGAAATCAATCAGACCCCACCCCAAAGTGTAATTCTGGTCCACTCTAGTGGAAATCTGCAAAGTTGATGAAGTTAAAGTTTGAATGACATGGAAACCTGAGGCACAGAAATTTCACGTTATTGAACATTTCCTTCCATTTGTACAGACATCTACTTTTCACATTACTCAACCAGATCAAAAAGACAAAAGATATTGTTAGACTTGTGCAAAATATGTATCATACTACCCTAAAAAGCTTTTTTTCTATAAGGAAAGTGGTAAATGTACTGTCTGAATAATAAACTAAACACTGATTTACTAGCTATAAGGCTTTTGGATGCCATATATTTCTTGACATTTGATAATAACTTCATAGTCCTTTCTTCACTTGGATGACACTTCAGAATGTCTCCGAACACAATGAGATTCAATTATACAATTCTAGTTCTTAAAAAATACTTGTATTTAGAAAGTCAAAATCAGCTACCTTGAAAACCTTGATTTTGATGGTTTTCAGTGTCAACGTTTCAAACTTACCCTTTGATAGGCAACTGAGATTTTATACCTTTTAAAGAAACTGCTACAAATACTTGTTTTTAATTAGTTTTTCAATGCCCTACCTCACACTATGTTCGTTCACATAAATCTCTGTTCAGAGTTTTTAAAATACACTTTAGCTGGAAAGTGCCATTCTGAAGGATGGGGTACGAAGCACAAATGTATGACTAGAAAAAATAATTTTCTACATCAGGGTTGGAAATAGATGCACTGATTCTGCCAGAGGAACCCAGTGAATTGACTTAATTGAATACTGCATTCTCTCCACAACTGACAATCAGTAAGAGTAGAGAAGGCAAGAGGAGTCCAGCACCCCAAACTGGATATCCATTGTAGAAGAATGAAACTAACTCCCTATCTCTTACCTTGAATGAAAACCAACTTACAGTGTATCAAACACCTAGGAAGTAGAACAGACACAGTGAAACTGCTAGAAGAAAACACAGGTGCAACACTCCAATATATTGGCACACATACTGACTTCCTTAATTAATAAGACTTCAAAAGCTCAAGAAATAAATCCAAGAATCAACAAGTGGGATGGCATCAAATTGAAAAGCTTCGGTACAGCAAAGAAAACAAGAGCATCAAGAGAGAACCTACAGAATGGAAGAAATTCTTTGCCACTAGAGGATTAATATCCGGAATGTATGAAGAATTCAAAAAACTTAACATCAAAACACACACACACACACACACAGGCCGGGTGGGTGCGATGGCACACACCTGTAATCCCAGCAGCTCTGGAGGCTGAGGGAGGAGGATTGTGAATTCAAAGCCAGCCTTAGCAACTTAGCAAAGTGCTAAGCAACTCAGTGAGATCCTGTCTCTAAATAAAAAATACTAAAAAATGTGGAGCTGGGGATGTGGCTCACAGGTTAAGTGCCCCTGGGTTAAATCCCTGGTTAAAAAAAAAAAAAGAAAAGAAAGGAAGGAAGGAAGGAAAGAGGAAAAAGGAAGGAAGGAAAGAGGAAAAAGGAAGGAAGGAAGGGAGGGAGGGAGGAATAGCCTTACAACCCACTCACTCAATAAATGACAAAAGGTCTAAATTGGCATTTCTCAAAAGAAGAAATACAAATTGCCAACAAATATATGTTAAAAAAATGTTCAACATCCTAAGTGATCAGGAAGATGCAAATCAAAACTACACTCAGATTTCATCTCACCCCAGTTGGAATGACAATCACCCCAAGAATACAAATGATTCCTGACAAGGATGTGGGAGCCAGAATTAAAAGAGGCAGTCAGTATAAATAGGGAAATCAGTTTAAATGGATCAAGGAGGCCAATTTGGGTCCAGGAAATTGGAGGCCATCCCTGAGGGATTGACATATTAATGCCTTCAGGGCCCTTCCTCTACCCTAAGATAACCTGCCTCTGCTCCAATCCATTGCTAAGGTAACAGGTCTCAGGAATTGTCCCTCCCCAGAGAGAGTTGTAAAAGTTGTTAGTTAATGTGTCCTGGGCTGTTCCATCTGGCCCTTCCCCCCTGTCCATCTGCTTCTCACCTTTTGGCCATCCCACCCCTGAGCATCTCCTGGGCCTCTATGCAGGAAGGAGAAAGATAAGGGGAAGAGACAGGTAACAAAGGAAGCCTAGGACATATAGAAAAGGCAGAACACCCTCACTTCTTGGAATACCAGGATAACAGCTATGACCCCCTTCTCCCTCCTGGGAGAAGTCTATGTTACCCCTTTTTAAATAAATCCTACTTTATACGCTTGCCTTGGCGTGCTACTCTAATGTTATACTTCAACATGTGAGGGAGCAGAACTCGTCACCAGTAACCTCTCCTCCTGAATGGTAAAACAAAAATACAGCAAAGAAGCTCCAGGTGTCCCCATTCATTAGTGTTATTGTCTCCTTTGAAGGAGGCAAGGAGAAGGCAATAAGGCATCTGTATGGTGTTGTTGCTTTCATAAGAAAAAAAGAAAGAGTGTCAAATTATTCACTCTAAGTTTATTGTCCTGCCTAAGCTACTGAATTATCTCACCCTCCCTCAGCTAAGTCTCACTCTCAATAGCATTTTAGAATGGGAAGAAACTTCTACATATATTCAATAGCATTTTTAGTATCTTTTAGAACTGGGTTCAATCTGCTTATCTCTGAATGGCCACAATGTGGACAAAACCAGAGTTCTAGCTTTGAAAAGCTAAGCCAGAAGAAGTTGAGTCTCAAATGCACAAGTCATGAAGATGAACCCATCCATTCTTTGGAGAGATGTGAAGTCTGTTCTCTTCAGCTGAGCTTTATGACATGCTCTTTATGTAAGTCAAATTTCACCCAAAGAAAACTAAAAAGCTTTCTTTTATTTTTGAAATCATGAAATAAATAGTAATATAGTTTATGTGCAAAATAAAATATAAAATGATCCCTTCAACTCATTTATCTCAAATGAAAGTACTGTAGAATTCAAGATTTATTCTGAGTAAGGAAGAAGAAAAGTGAAATATTCTGCACAGCAGAGTCACATGATCTAACTTATATTTAACATTCACTTTAATTCACTTGTTTTAAAGAAATATTTAGCATCAGTTATATTTTGCAACATTTATGTGCTTAATGAATTGTGATCTCAAAAAAAATAAATTTATATTGCATCTTTTTCAGTAAAGACTTGTGATTTTAATGTTTCAAAATTAATCTGTAACCTTTAAGGAAGAAAATGAGAAAAAAAGAAAGCTAATTATCTAATTCAATATAAAATGAATTGTGAGTATACATGCTTTCCTGTGGTAAAGGCCTAGAATACAAGTTAAATGAACGAATAAGTCAAAATTCTGCTTCACAACTGGTGGTGTGCTCTGAGAAGGTGTCATGATGTCTTTGGGTCTCATTTTATTTATGTCTAAAATTAGTGTTGTACCAGAAAATACTTTGGATCCTACCATCTCTAAGACACAATTACACAGTTACACATCTCAGAATATGATTATTGTAGCCTCAATAGTACCTACTTACTGACTCAACCCTCCCTCCCTTAAAAATCAAATAACAGATGCTGCGAGTTGTCTTTGAGATTTCTCACATCCCTGTGTAAACATAGCAATAATAGTAACAACATAGAAAATATTAACCCAATTTGCCCATGGTAGACAAATCCAAATAGTATAACGAGGCCAGGTATGCCTGTAATCCCAGCAGCTTGGAAGGCTGGAGACAGGAAGATCATGAGTTCAAAGCCAGCCTCAACAACTTAGTGAGGGTCTAAGCAATTCAGTGAGACCCTGTCTCTAAATAAAATACAAAACAAGGCTGAGGATGTGGCTCAGTGTTTAAGCACCCCTGAGTTCAATCCCAAGTACCAAAAAGAAAAATGAAGCCAATAAGTCCTGGAATTGAGAGAAGCTACACCTAAGACAGTGGCCAGGAGTGTTCAGATCTTCAGGAGCAAATCATGGCACGTTCTTTAAAATGCTCAGGTGCTCTCATAATGTGGCTTTTTTTTTTTCCAGTACATAGCAGAAAAACTAATTTCTGAAGGAAATAGCTGGCAATCCAAAACAAACACATTGGTTCAAATTAAAGAAAAGCTCCCAAAGAGCTGAAGCTGGAACTGCTATCATGAAATATATACAACACGTACAATCCATGGATGTTAAACTGTGTTCTGTTACCAAGGCTTCCACTATTAGAAGAGAACAGATGAGATGGATGAAACTTATAATTTTCATTAAATATAGATAAGTGATTAGTACACAGAGCATTTATGTGTCACCATCAGGTACTAAGGACATATAAGACAACAGGGCACTCAACGTTCATGATATTAAACAGACAAGAGACACCAACCATTCCTGGTAGACAGGAAGTACTCAATATTCTTGAGGTCTTAATTTAGCCACTGATGGGTGAAAAACATTCTCATATGTCCTTTGCCCCCAAAATAAAAATAAATCCCAGAGCTGCTCAGAGGTCAATTGGGAAGGGATAGCTATGGCCAGTGTCCTTGGCCCGTGTCTCTGACACCGTAAGTATGTGTCACTGGCCCAGAGCACTTTCTCTCTGGGTGCCCTTGCCACATCTCATCGCCTTATTTCTGGTCCTCATAACAACCTCATCTGTGAGGAAGGCCGAGGAAGCATGAACCTTGCCTCTCCCACAACTCAGGTAGTGGGATCCCTCCACCTGCTCACCCCATATGCTAAGTGTGTCCCCCTTAACCTTCTTTCCCTTTGCTTCTCACAGTATGTTTTAACTGACTTCATAAACCATGGAGTTTTAGCATCTAATCTGATCTGTGACCTGCGGGATGGACAGTTTGTGAGTACTGTATTGGGGACTACCAATGGTCAAGGCAACTTCCCACAGGACATCCTTAAAGGACAATGACATGAAGAAGAGCAGCCAGTGTGGATTCTAAGCAGAACATCTGAGTCTGGAGGAAACCTGAGGTCCTCCTCCTCCTCCTCCTCCTCCTCCTCCTCCTCCTCTTCTTCTTTTTTTGGTTGTTGTTCTTTTTAGTTATACATGACAGTAGAATGTATTTTGACATATTATACATACAAGGAGTCTAACTTCCCATTCTTGTGGAACTTTTTTTTTTTTTTTTAACTCACCTGGCATCAGCCAGAGTTGCTCGCACCACAGCCCAGGCCACAACAAATACCACTGGAAACCCTGTAACCAGAAAAGGATTCAGAGACCACATTTCTCTTAAGATTAAGAATATATTTTTTCACATTCATCACACACAGGAATATACCATTAGCAGTTGAAAAAGAAAAAAAAAGACACAAAAAAATGTTGACATGTGAATAAGAAAAGTCCACCTAATTTTCATCTTGTCAATTTGAGAAATGAGTGAGAACAATGACGTTATTTATCCCTGGGAGTCTGAAGATGATGGTTGGTCGTGTTTTCATTTGAGGGACTTAGGGCCAAGACACATTTGGAGGGGACTGAAGTTCTTGGGGTCAGAAGGAGACAGGGTTGAACACTTTGATTTCAGGCACACTGGGAGCCATCTGCTTTTAAGAAGAGATGCAACCAAAGAGACTCATGAGAAGCTGAGATAAATTGCTGTTTTAAAAGCAGTGGAGGGGCTGGGGTCGTGGCTCAGTGGTAGAGAGCTCACCTAGCATGTGTGAGGCACTGGGTTTGATCCTCAGCACCACATAAAAATAAATAATTAAAAATACTAGCAGATGGAGTAAAAACAACAACAACAACAAAAGCAGTGGAATTGGAGAATATGATGCTAAGTGAAATAAGCCAAACTCAGAACCTCAAAGGTCAAATGTTTTATCTTAAATGCAGAAGCTAGAGTAAAATAAAGGAAAGGGGGAGGGAATGATAGGATAACACAAAGAACCAACCCAATGCTAATTAATAGATAAGTGAAAGGAAGTCTAATAGAGTGGAGAGAGGAGAGGGAAGAGAGGAGGGGGGACAGGAAGTAAAATGGGGAGAGAGAAGAGGATACTCATAACCTGAAATCAATTTCCGTGTGTATGTTTGTCAGGATGAACCCAACTGCTATGTATAACTATAAAGCTCTAATTCTTTTTTTAAGTATTAGAACATTCTTTTTATTCTTGAAGTGCAGTGCATGAACATGGCAAGTTATAAAATCAGGAAATTACAACCACTGTGGCCTTTTCCTTTCTTTGACTCCCAAATTGTCTCAAGACAAAGCATTTGCATGCGTTAATGGCTCAACAAAGGTGACCCTTATGATATTTTGATGCTCTGAGCATGTGACATTTGTCTTCATAAGTGATAACCATCTATGAGCTTGCAATATCAAATCCATTATAATGACTTTGCGTGAGTCCTTTGCTCCCCGGTTAAGGATGACCCTTCAGTTCATGCTGTAGCTAATTAAATTCCAACATCACAAAAAAAAAGAAAAAAAAAAACAACTGAAACCAAAACTTTTACAAATATGTCAGTAGGAAAATAAGAATTTTAATGTGGGAGTATTAATTTTATGGCCTTTGAAAGAGGTTTAGGTAAAGTAAATAAAGAGAACATAATTAAAAGACTGCAGATGCTAGGAAGTACCATACAAGGCAAGAAAAAAAATTTTTAATCTAGCTATGAACTTTTTAAATCAAGCATACTACTAAATTCTTTATCTTGTAAGAACATATTTGTAATTTTTTAAGATTTCTTTCTAAGCAACTGAGTGAAAACAGAAATAGCCTCAGACAAGAAATATTTCACAAATTGAAAATAAGCTCATACCCATTATAGAGAATTTCTTTGGTCTCCTTAGTGACCAACTAACCAATTAAATTTAACCTCAGCCTGTCTATATGACTATTGAATTTTATGATTCTACACTTTAATTTTACTTGTTTGCATATAATTCTTTTTTAATCTGCTCAAATGCTGTGCTTTAAGATATTTTTGTTATTTCTTTGGTTTAGCTTGCATATTCTTTCTTCCTATCTAACCATCTATCTATCCATCCATCCAACTATTCATCCATGAAGCACTAAGTGCCTATTTATATGTTAAAGATTATTCTAGTCTCTGAAGAAGAAACATTGATCAAATAGATGATCCATGTTTTCTTCAAAGGTGTATATTGATGAGAGAGAAAAATTAATAAAAACAAACTTGGTTCTCAATTAATGCTTATTTTAGAAAAACAAGAATGATTCCATGCAATGGAAAAGGCATGGATGCTTCTGATGGGATGGTTAGAAACCCTGACGTAGATTGCTTCGGTGTTTTGCTGTTTGCTACCTTTAAAGTGTCTATCTTTGGTCCAAATGTTTGCATCTTCTCATTCTCAGATATGCATCAACATTCTCCTGGTCAAGCAATTTCCTGAATGATGCCCTACACAATATTGGTTAATGACGTTTGGGTGACCATTGTGTTTTAGATGATAATTATAACAAATATATCAGGCCCAATGTCTTAATGAAGTTTCTTTTCTCATACTCTCAACACACCCGTATTTATAAGACTAGTATAGAGATAATCACAGAGGAATAAAGAACAGAAAACTGCTTTGGTATTCTTTGAGGATTTTTGATCACCAATTTCAATATCACATTATTACATATTTTAGAACACATAAATATAGGAAAATATATTCAAAATTTAAGTGTTATTTTAAATTTAACTTTATTTAAATAAATTTAATGTTAATTTAAATAAACACTTATTTATATGTTAAATTTAAATATCAATATATGCATTTACTGGATTAGATTTCATAATGTCTGTAAAAATAACTTCTGAAATAACGGTACTTATTAATTAAAGTTTTGAATATGATACATATGATCAGAATAGTCAAATGGACAAACAATGTAACCTAAAGTGTCAGACATGTTTCTTGTATGGGATATGAATTGGCTCCAAAGGTGCTGAAACTTTTTGATTCACAACATGGCAGTATTAAGAGATGATAGAATCTTTAAGAGGCAGAGACTAATAAATGGTGATTTTGTCACTGGGGGAACCACCTTAAAAGAGATTAACACTCATCTCATGGGAATAGGTTGGGTCCACGGGAATAAATCAGTTACTAAAAGAATGAGTTGTTATCAAATGAGTCTGACATTATTGGCTCAGTCTCTTGCTCCATCTTTACCATATAAACTCTCTCAAATGTACTCACTGCCATATGATGCTATCTACCACAAGGCCCTTACCAGAAGCCCATGTTCTTGGGCCTGTAGAACTATGAGCTAACTAAGCTTCTTTTTTTAACAAATTATTCAGCTTCTGGTATTTTGTGATAGTAACACAAGATGGACTTAATCACATTTCTGTATTTAAATTATATTTACTAACAAATGATGATGAAAAAAAAATGTTTGCTAGGTTAAGAACATTTACACATAGATAATAAAACTGGAAGTGCCTTCTTGACTATTTTCAGAGAACATAGAATGTGAAAACATTGGACATGAAAGCTTGGCAACAGGGACATGACTATGATTTAGGAACAGAGAGAGTGTTGAAGTAAATTACTATTCTTTTTATTATGAAAGCCCTAGACTAAATTATTTTTAAAAGAATGAAGTTGTAAAAAGAAAGTCAGAATGGAATTACCAGAAGAGATACTTTTATATGATAATATTCACATACTGGCGTCTCATCTGACAGTTGAAAATTAAGGATGGCTCCTGATATAAAAGTTAATCACCATATTCAGTAAAGATGAAAAATAAGACCTAAAACTTTAAGATACTGAATTAAGATAAAGAAAAAATATGTAGATAAAAGAAGATATGGAACCAAGAGTAAAGTGTCTTATTTATGAGAGAACTGAGAAAGGGAGAGAGAAAAGTAAGTATATGTTTGGTTGGGAGAAAAAAATCAATATTTGCCTTTATTCCTCTGTACATTTTCTTTGTGATAAAAAAAAAATGTGTAAAAAAGTCACTTTAAATATCTGTCTTCATTTTAGTAAAGGTCAGCTATGGGTCCTCTTCTTCAGATTGTAATTTTCCTTTTCTTCCAGTTTATTACTAAGAATCATCAAAATCAATATAAATAATGTAACCACATCTCACTACAATGTGAATAATAGGTTTCTAAGTATTTAAGTATGAAGAGAATGTGAAGCTATAATAATTGGGTCCAAATGAGCAATAAAAGAAGCAAAGCAAGTTCTCTTTTTTAGTGAAACCAATAAAAAGAAAATATCTTTGGGAGAAAAAGTGTGAAATTTGGTTTACTCTGAATTATTCCAACAAAGAATCCTGCAAAGCAGCTATAGTTTTGATCATGTGGAAAACAAATGTGGAAAAATGAGTCAGATGTAAAGTAAAAAAAAAAAAAATTGGGGTGGGAGGGGATAGCAGGGATTGAACTCACAGGCACTCAACAACTGAGCCACATCCCCAGCCCAATTTTGTATTTTATTTAGAGACAGGGTCTTACCAACTTGCTTAGCACCTAGCTTTTGCTGAGACTGGCTTTGAACTCATGATCCTCCTGCCTCAGCCACCCAACCCGCTGGGATTAAGGTGTGCATCACCAAACCCGGCAAAGAAAATATTCTTAAATCAGGCACTCATATTAAGGTAGGAGAAAAATAATCTATTAATCAAAAAGATTTGGATATGTCCTTCATTAAATGGAAGCTATGATTTGGAAGGAGAGAAATAGTTTAAGTACTATTAGTATTCTTTTGATTGTATATGACCTAGACTGTTAATTTTTAAAAGGATGAAGTTGCAAAGAGAGAAAGTGAATATAGATAAACTAGCCATGGAACTATAATTCTATGAAGAGTGGGTATCATAGTCTTTTGAGACTATGACTAATTAAATGAGCATAATAGAACATGGAAAATGCTCTCACAGTGAGCTGTCATGAAAATCTTACTTGCTTTTGTGTGCATTCTCAAGCTAGTCCATGAAATGAAGATTTCAGATAACAATGCTTACCTATTTTAGTTGTCATTTCTATGCCAAAATTTTTGTGGACAAATTGATAAAAGTTGTAAAGGAAGACCATACTTACATAGAAATTCACCAGCACCATGGCGATTTTTTGTTCTTTTTTTTATAGACGGATTGGAAAACTAGTTTCCTAAGTTTCATTATGACAAAATCCTCACTTTAATTAAGAAGGGAGAGACTGAGGGATATTACACAAATAGAGTTGGTCAAAGGTCTGCACCAGTTAGCTGTCAGGTCAGTAATAGAGGAAAAAAAAAATCATTACACATGTGACCACTGATGTAGACATTCAAGAAACAAAATATAACTCAGATAAACTTCCACATTCATTACTGAATTTTCTACCAAAGCCTTTATCAACGTCTAGTAATTATGTGGGTACACAGATAATTTTGATTCAAAGACAAACTATCAAAAACTGTCAAGAAATTATTTCCTAAGTGTTCTAAAAAAGGAGACTCTTTTTTTTTCTTTTTTAGTAACTTCTATCTAAAAGAGCCTTAATCAGATGAGCTGGCTGGCTTCAGAAATAAAAAATTCTTATTTTATTATTTTGTAATAAATGAAGTGTTGCTGTGAATTGATCTTTGTCTTTTCAAAGCTTAGCAGGAAATTTCATATATGTCACATTTTCAAGTAATATTAAGGCAAAGGAATGTTCCTATTTTGAAGGGAGGGGAAAGAAACACCTTCAAATTAATCTTGAGCCACTTAGTGACTTTTTATCCTTATGCTGAGCACCTCATAATTTGAACATTAAAATAGCAATTGAGATCTGCAGTTGTTAACCTCCAGACCCTTCTCTATTTTAACCACATATGAACTTTCATTTCCCTCAAATTTTAACAAACAACATCTTTTTCTCTGTGTCATGCTGAATTAGTGCCTAACCCACTAATTGCTCCAGTACTAAGTCATTTGGGGGATGGTAGCTGAATATCATTTTTTAAAAAAATTACTCTGCCAAAAGTAATTTGAATAATCTCCTAAAAGACATGGTAAGTCCTCATAATTAGTTTGTAATTTGTGTATGTTAAATGCAGTCCTGATGGTCCTATGGTCCTTTCTGGCATTCTTATTACATGACTTAGAAATACAAATCAAAAAACATATTATTATCACTTAGAAATTCACAAATAAAAAATTGGGGGAGAAATTATTGATAACACAGAACACTGACACAGGGCATGAGTCAAGCAGTTCTAAGTGCACATGGCTAACAATGCATTCTCTTAAATGTCCTCCAAAGAACTTTCATGAGATTCTTGGCCTAAGAATACTGAACATAAATTAAGCTTGAAAAGTTGGTTACTGCTGGGAGGATTATAGAACTGATCTTAATAATTTTCATTTTAGAATAGGACCATGAAAGAAAAAGCAGAGGGGATAATGACAAGATGAGGAGGGAATATTTCAGGAAAAGGGTTAATAAATCCATAACCTGTTTAAAGGAAAGGAGATATAAATGCTTACCCCAGCCAATCAAGATGAAGCCCCACAGGTATTTGGTGTCCGAAAAGAAAGACACAAAGATCAAATTATGCAGGTAGAGACCTTCCACAAGGATCCAATAGTAGTTTGTTGCCAAGAAGTAAATAAACATCACAACAGCAATCTTGCACCCGATCTGTTATAAATAAGCCAGAATGGCATCATCTTAGAACTCTCAATTGTACGTGAGACTACTAAAAAATACTTCTTTAGTTGCTTTCTCATAGTCTGCTATTTTTCTGTGCATAGAAAAATCAAGAACATTGAAACAAACCAGAACAAAGTTATTTCAACACAGCATTTTTAAGACTATGAGGCTAGATTCTTATTATTAAAATTAAAATTTTATTAAAAGTTAGAAAAAAATCACTTTTTCATTATTTTTTCTCTTAAGAAAAATAATATATGATCATCATAAAAAATGAGAAGTAGAGAAACGTATATAGAAGAAAATATGATCCATCTTTCTATTAGGAATTTTATTCTGGTCTTCTGATGCCTATGGCAGCAAAACAAACTGCCCCCAAAGTGGATGACCTAAAACAATAACCATTTAATATGTCTAAAGTCTGTGGTTTGGTGAGTGGGTCTGCTGATCTGGGATGACCTCTGCCCATCTCATCCAGGCTCGCTCATGGAAGTCTACCTCCATCTGCCTCACTATCACTGCCATTTCCTGCTAGTGGGTAAAGCAAGTCACAAGGCCAGTCAAGAACCAGATTAGAAGGGACTACCAACTACTGCCTTACTGAGTAAAGGCAGAGATGCAGACGGGGCTTTAATCTGTATCATCAAGATGACCCATCTACTATAAATCATTTCCAGATACATTGATTCAGTAATCAAATTTGCTGGATTATTGAGTGACTACTTACTAATTTAAGAGGAGACTTAAGTACCATGGAATTTTATATGGGAATGAGACTCCAAGTATATAATAAAGGAACTAAATGTCGTAGGCTTTTACATCCCAAGGTTCTGGTTTTGCTGATGAGTCTTTACTTTTAAAAGCAGTACCCACGGCCGTTGCTATGCTCCATGTATCATATGCCATTTGAATCACATGCTTTTGCAGTTTCCATTCCAGAATGTCTTGGAGAAAACCACTTTTGATAATTCAAAATAAGTGATTAGATTTGATAGGACAGAATTGAGGAAATAGATATTAGAAGTCTAATTTAATTACTTTAGAGATCATATAAAATAAGCCCAAACAAGTTAACATTTAGTGGGCTGTGAAATTTGACGCACTTACATATTGTGATTTGTCCACAGAAGGTGCTCCAATGGAATTGTGTAGGTCATCCTGCATTATCAGGGACTGCAGCTCTTCTACTCCCAAGTGAGCCTGGGCCACTCTGTCCTTGACAAAAATGCTTATAGCTCTCAGCATAAAAGACACAAATAAGTGCAGGTGGATATAGTTCCTAGTGCAATGCAATCGTCTGTGCAGAGAAATAGCCAGTATTTAGAATTGGACAAAATGAGAACTAGGGAAATAAAATGCCCAAAGGATCCCAACCTCTTCCCACCCCCCAAAAAAAGTATGGTGAACTCAAAGACAGAAACAATATTAAATAGCTCTGGGTTATATTTCATAATATAAGAGAGAAAGTTCAAATGAAAATGAGCTAAATTTAGATGCTTAGGAAATGATTACATTATTAATATTACATTATTAACGTATTGTGGACATGGATTTATTCATGTCCTGGCTCCTCATCAGGAGTGTCTTCACAGGACATCAGTACGTGGCCAGATAGCATTATCAGGCGTGTATGGCAATTATTTACTGTACATATTGCTATTACAATGCATAAATAGGTTTTGACTTTCAAGAGATTCAACACTATCTACTAATAAAGGAGTATTTTATACAACCAAAACAAATTCTATATAACCTTTTATTTTAGAATATATCAATTCTATTGAAAATAATTGTTTAGCAATTATAAAGAATCTATAATTAAATACTGTAATGAGTTCTTATGTAAATCAAAGGACTATTGCTGAGTTCTGAGAAATTCTTTCTGAATTTCTAGTCATCTGTTTTCCTCACAAAAGTTTATCCATTGTTCTGAACAACTAGAGCCAAGCTTGGAGTAGGGGAACAAACCCTGGATGAAGAAACAGAAGACAAAGTTTCCATTTCCAGGTCAACCTATGACCTTGGACATTGTACTTCAGTCTCTTGGTCTTTAAAATTTAACAAGAACTGCCAGGCCAAATTCCCAAGGCCATTTTCAGGAAGCCCTTTATAATCCCACAGATCTGATCATATGACTCTTCCATTTAAAAAAAATCACATTTTTTTCTGCTTCCTTCTGTTGAATCTCTTCATTGATTCGCATATGTTGAAACATCCTTGCCTCCCTGGGACGAATTCCACTTGGTCATGATAAGTCATCTTTTTAACGTGCTATTAGATTCAGTTTGCTATTATTTTGTTTTTGCTTTTGTTTTTTGTTGTTGTTGTCGTCGTTCTTCTTCTTCTTCTTCTTCTTCTTCTTCTTCTTCTTCTTCTTCTTCTTCTTCTTCTTCTTCTTCTTCTTAGTTATACATTATAGTCGAAAGCATTTTGACACATCATACTAAATTGAGTATAACTTCTCACTCTTCTAGTTGTATGTGATGTAGAATTACACGGGTCCAGTAGTCATATATATATATATATATATATATATATATATAAAAAAATCCAAACATTCATATGGTAATAATATCCCATTCATTCTACTAACTTTCCTACACTTACACTCAAACCTCCTCCCCTCCCTTTACTCTCCTCTGTCTAATACAAAGTTCCTCTATTCTTCCCTAGCTCCCACCCCCTTATTGTGAATTAGCATCCACATATCAGAGAAAACATTTGGTCTTTGGTTTTGTGGGGGTTGGCTTATTTTGCTTAGCATGATATTCTCCAGCTCCATGCATTTACAGGCAAATGCCATAATTTCAATCTTCTTTAAGGCTGAGTAGTATTCCATTGTGTATATATAACACATTTTCCTTAGCCATTCATCTGCTAAAGGGCACCTAAGTTGGTTCCATAATTTATCTATTGTAAATTGAGCTGCTATAAACGCTGATATGGCTGTATCACTATAGTATGCTGATTTTAAGTCCTTTGAGTATAAACTGAGGAGTGGGATAGCTGGGTCAAATGATGGTTCCATTCCAAGTTTTCTGAGGAATCTCCACACTGTTTTCCATAATGGTTGCACCAATTTGCAGTCCCACCAGCAATGTATCTGTATACTTTTTTCCCCTACATCCTTGCCAACTTTTAATGTTGCTTGTATTCTTAATAATTGCCATTCTGACTAGAATGAGATGAAATCTTAGTTTTGATTTGCACTTCTCTAATTGCTAGAGATGTTGAACATTTTTTCCTATATTTGTCTCAAAAATGAATCAAATAATATAATTAACATCAGGTTTAATTTAAAAATCTTCTGGTAAAATATTTGGTGGCACAGATTATGAGACCCATGTTTTCTGTGGATAGGAATCAGAGCACGTCACTTCATGGAGAAAGTGGCTGAGAATAACTCACCTGAAGTAACCAATGATGAGGATGGCCACAGCCAAGGAACCCAAGGAAATGGAGTAGCCCACAGTGTACAAGATGTGGAGGCTTTTGAAGAACTCCTGCTGCAGGGGAGGAGATAGTCACATGTGTAATAGGGCCATTTTACCAAAACACTGGTAAGAACAATATGTCATTTGGGGGATGTTATTTCTAATTCTCTTTAGTTTTTCTGAGCTGTAATTCACACACAATAAAATATACAGATCTTCAATGAGCAGTTTGATGGGTTTTGATAAACCCAGTTCATTTATGCCTCTTGCTAGTAGAAACCTGCCCCCTAACACCCCACACACACACCCCGTAACCACTACTCCAATTCTGTCACCATGAATGAGCTTTCTCTGTTCACATGCTTCATATACTTCTGGACTGTTCTTAAACTTCTTAGAATTATATAGTATATATTCTTTGTGTTGATGTGCTGCTTTTGATAACCACCAATAATGTTATGTGTGTTAGTACTTCATTCCTTTTTAATTTTCTTTAATTTTAAAGAAATGATAGATGCACAAGAAGTGAAAAATATACTAAGGAAGGTCCTGCAATGGTTTAGATCATTCATAATTATAGTAAATATCAGAACAAGGAATATGAGAGTGGTCCCACATGCTTATTTGTAGTTCTCTGTCATTTGATCACATATGTATATGTATGCAATCATCATTGGAATTAAATTGTAGAAATACTCCATCAGCTCAAAGTTATACCTTGCGATAGCCCTACACATCATATCTACCATTCTTCTCCCACCGTTCCAAACACCTGACAATGATTGATTTGTTTTCCATCTTCATAGTTTTGTCATTTTGTAGTGTTATAAAAGTAGAATCATATGAGACCTTTTGAAATTGGCCATAATGTCCTTGAGTTCCATCCAAGTTGTTGTCCCTATCAAATAGTTTGCTGTTTTTTATTGTTGAATAGAATTCCACCGTATGTATATAATCATTACATTTTAATGAGTTTCTTGTAGATGGTATGTAGTTTAGTCGTGTTTTAATTAGTGTATTTATACCATATACTTTTAATATAATACTGATATGTTAAGGCTAAGTGCATCCTTTTATTTTTTTTTATTTTATGTTGTACTATTTCTCATTTCTGTTTTATTTTTCTTGCAATCCTGTGTGTTGCTTGAATAGTTTTTAGAATTCCATTTGGTGTATCTTTTGGTAGAGTTTTAAGCGGTCACTCTAGGAATTACTTTTTTAAAACATGTTTTTAGTTGTAGATGGGCACAATGTCTTTATTTGTATTTATTTACTTTTATATGGTGCTGAGGATCGAACCCAGGGCCTCATGTGTGCAAAGCAAGCATTCTACCACTGAGCTACAACTCCAGCCCTCTAGGAATTACTTTATATAGTTTAATGTGAAATATTTGATCATTAAATCTTTACCTTTCTTCTTTTCTAATTAAGTTCTCAAAATTATACATTTACTTCTAAGCTCTGTTTATGGTATTTTCCACACTTTTTTATATTTTGGGCTTTGATTGATTCAGTTTGAACTTGTACCCTGAGTCATATAATTTCCAACTACTTATAAATTATATAAATACTATAATTGATTTTTAATTAACACTTTTATAGTCAGAAATCATGCTCTGATTTCAATGTTGAAATTCGCTGAAACTTACTCTGTAAACCAATAAATATTTGTGAAACTTTGGTGTGTACTTTAAAAGAATGTGAATCTTGTAGTTATTGGGTATAGTGTTCTATAAATGTCCATTTAATCATTGTTTGAAAGATATGGAAATTTTTGTCTAATGGTTCTATGAGAATGATGAGTTCTCATGACTCCTACATGCTGAGATTTAACTATCTCTCCTCTTAATTCGGACTAGTTTTCCTTCCTGACAACACTGAGGTTGTTTCCATATCTTGGCAACCGTAATTACACTGCAATGATCACGGGAGTGCGAATGTCTTCAACATATGATTTCTTTTCTTTTGACAAATTTCCAGCAGTGGGATTGCTGGATTGCTGGATAATATGATAATTATTAATGTTTTGAGGACTCTCCACCCTGTTTTCCGTAATGGTTATACTCATTTACCTTCCCTTTCTCTATAGCCTCTCCATCACTTGATATCTTTTGTCTTTTTGATAAAGCCATTCTGGCAAGTGTAAAGTGATATCTCTCATTGTGGCTTTAATTTACATTTTTCTGATGATTAGTGATGCTGAGCATTTTTTTTTTCATATCCACTGACCATGTGTATGTCCTCTTTTGAGAAATGTCTGTTCATATCCTTTGTCAGTTTTATAAATGGGTTGTTTTATTGCTCTTGAGTTTTCTGGATTCCTTAAATATTTTGGAGATTAGCCCCTTATCAGCTTATGCTTTGTGAGTATTTTCTCCCAGTCTATAGGTTTTTTCTTCATTCTGTTGATTGCTTTTCTGGTTGTCTTGAAGCTCTTTATTTAAGGAAAATCCATTTGTCTATTTGTTTTTATTTTCTGAGTTTGGGGGACCATATCCAAAAAACTCATTGCCCAGACTAATTTCATCAAGAGTTCCTCCTATGTTTTCCTCTTGTTGTTTTACAATGTCAAGTCTTACATTTATCCACTCCAAGTTGAGTTTTGTACATAAGGGCCTAATTTCATTCTTCTACCTGTAAATATCCAGTTTTCCTAGTACTCTTTACTGAAAACACTACCCTTTCTTCACTGTGTGTTCTTCGCATCTTTGTTGAAAATCAGTTGGCCATTAATGTATGGATTTATTTCTGGGCTCTCTATACTGTTTATTGGTTTATGTGTACATTTTTATGCTAGCACCATGCTGTTTTGAATATTACAGCTTTGTAGCACATTCTGAAACCAGATAATATGAACACTCCAGCTTTGTTGCTTTTTGCTCAAGATAGCTTTGGCTATTCAGGGTCTTTCATGGTTCAATACATATTTCAAAATTATTTTTCTATTTTTGGTAAAAAAAAATCAGAATTTTGATAAGGGCTTCATTGAATCTGTAAATCATTTTAGGTAGTATAGACATTTTAACAATATTAATTCTCCCAATCTGCAAACACAGAAAAGATATTTCCACTTATTTGTTTCTTCAGTTTCTTTCATCATTGTTTTATAGTTTTCAGTATCCAGGTCTTTCACTTGCTTTGTTAAATAATAATTTTTTTTATTTATTTAAGAATTTTATTTAACTATTATAAACAGTATTTTTTCTTGATTTATTTTTTTCTTGATAGTTTATTGTCAGTTTATGAAAACACAACTGATTTTTTATAGAGATTTCGTTCCTGCAACTTTAATGAATTCATTGATTAGTTCTAATAGATTTTTGGTGGCATCTTTAGGGTTTCCTATATATAAGATCATCTCATCTGCAAACAGGCAACTTTGCTTCTTCCTTTTCAATTTGGAGACCTAACTTTTCTGGTTAGGACCATGTTAAACAGAAGTGGCTTCAGTGAACAGGCCAGCTGGTTTCCTGAGTCCAGGAGATTTTGTTCCAGCTGCTGCCCTACCAGTCTTCAGCCAACACTGTCTTGCCTGAGATGAAGGCCCTATGTGCCTAGCAGGTCTTCCTCAGCTTCCTTTGTCAGACTACTGCCTTGTAGACCTGCACATCTGGGGGGATAAAAGTGGGGGTTCTCTTGCTCTGTGTTAGAGTCTGTAAACAAGTCAAAATAACACCTGGCATTTTGCCAGGGGAATGTTAGAGTTCCTAAACAAGTCTGGATGGTGCCTGGCAAAATGCCAGAGGGAGTGGTTTGAGAAGTAACAAAAGCGAGCCATTAAGTGTGGAGATTCCTTATTGGTTGACTGATGTATCTAGTTTATGCTAATTAGATAAGCTGTGTGGCATGTATAAATACTGCTCCTGTCCTGCAATAAATGGCTCCCACTCCTGCTGTATCAATGTGCACAAGTTGTTCGTCACCCCCGGTTATTTTGCCCAGCCAGCCGGGCTCCGGCAGCTCTGGCCCTTGGGCTACAGCAGTCCTGCACTCAGTGAGGGCTCCATGCACCTCAAGGGATGTCTCCCAGCTCCTCTGTTCTGTGCCACGCCCTCAGCTTAGGTTCTCTTTCACTCTGTGAAGGTCCTGGGCACATCCTGAGAGATTTATCTTACTCTGCTGTATTGCCCCAGCCTTTGGCATAGTGCCATTCTGTGAAGGCTCCATGGGACTTCACTGTGACTAGAGCTTGCTGCTTTGAATTCTATGCCCTTATGCTAGCCCTTGTCTGTTAGAATGTGATTAAAAAGCTTTCCTCCTTTCTTTTCTTCTCAATCTATGGTTACTCTTCTTTTGCTATGGACCCAGCCTTTAGATTTTTTGAAATCCTCATTTTACTGGTGAATTTTTACAGATTATTAATTTTGCATCTCATACAACTTAATCTTATCATTATACCTGCCTATATTCTGGCTGGAAGCAAAGGACTTTACCTCTTATTCCTTTTCTTTTAAATATTATTCATTGCATATTATTTTTATTAATAAAACATTAACATGTTTATAGAAAATACTGGATAATATGTAAAATATATAATGAAGACAAAAAGGCCTTCCAAGTTTTCACCAAACGAAAGAAACACTGCTAGCACCTTAGGTATTTTTGTTTTTCTTTTTCTATATACCCTATCCTATCTTTTTAAGGATCTGAATCCTAAACTTATACTCAAGTTTTTTCCAAATAATTACATGACAAAAGAATTTTCCAATGCCACAAACTCTTTATAAAAATACATATTTGGGCATACTTAACCAGTTCCTCTCTTGAAATTTAAATTCTTCAAAATATTCACTGTAATGACTTATTATTCAATGAACATTTTTTTTCATTCAGTTTCTCCACCCCAAATCTTTATACTTAACCATAGAAGTGAAATTATAAAATCAAAGGTTATGACCTCTTTGAGGTTTTTAAATATGTATTGCTAAATTGCATTCAAAAGTACCTATAGCCTTTAGACATAAGATATATTATATGATAATTTCTACAGTATGCTGTTGTTTCAAATATCATACTCTAAAGAATTTAGTAACCTGTGGCCTATCATTAGAGTTCCTTCTCTTCTTTTATTAAAAATAATTACCTCATTTGGCCAACCAATGATATGGAAATTATTTAGAATTTTAAAAAATTCATGCTAAAAATAGCTTAGTATTTTCCCAATAGTGATGTGGCACTTATTCTTCCATCAAATTATGGGTCATTTATTCTCAATACATACTTTTTCAGTTTTATACATTTCCTTGCTTACAAAAATTTTTATATTAACCATTAATAATTTATATCTCATAAATAAGGAACATCATTTTGCCTGACAGAGCATTAAAACTTCGGGAGCCATCTAGTTTTCTTATTAGAGAATATTTGGTGTGGCTTTCTTCTTTTTATGAGTCTTCTTAAATTATACCTTAAGGTTGGTAAACAATTGAAAATATGGTTTTCATTAAGGAGATAAAATTAATTTATGTTAACAAAATTCTTAAAGTTTTAGTTAGCCTTTAAGTCATTTTTATAGAAACAGTATATATCTTAGGTTTATTAACCATTTTTTATTATTTTGATACTTAGAATATGCATTAATCACAAAGAAATGGTTGTAAGATTCGAGTTCTGGCTGGGCGGTTGGTGAACACCTGTTATCCTAGCAACTCAAGAGGCTGAGGAAGGAGGATCACAAGTTGAGGCCAGTATCAGCCACTCAGCAAGATCCTGTTTCAAAATAAATAATTTTAAAAAAAAGGACGGGGGATGTAGCTCAGTGGTAAAGTGCCCCTGGGTTCAATCTCAGTTCTAAACAAATAAATAAATAAGATTAGAATTCTGTGTGAATAAAACCATGATTTAATTTAACAGCCAATTGAAAGCTGTCAAAGAACTACCTTTGTCATCATTTAACACACAACTAAAGATCATCACCGAGTACACTAAATACCCGGAAGTGCGTGTTTTCATCAGTGAGACTCCAATCATTCTGAAGTATTTATATTAACTCAAAATTAGCCTGAGTTGTATCATGGAATCTATAAGAATCTCCTCATATTGACTATTTTTATATAAAAAATTTCAAACCTTGAAGTACAAAACTGAAGGTCTTTAAACAAGCTATCAAAGAGCTCATTAAGGTTTTAGTACTTGATGACAGAAAAGAAAGTTAAGAAAGAAAATTCAGCCTATTTGCAAAACTGAACAAAGAAACCTTCAACTCATCACTTCTCTCTACTGTTCTCTCTCCACTCCCTCCAAAAATCAATAGGCACTAAAAAAAAAAAAAGTAAAATGTGAGGGAGTTTATGTACAATGGGCTGTTCTTAGGGCCCTCTTAAAAATTACTTATCCATCAATTTATCATATTCATTCCTAGCATCACAAGCATTCTCATCCCATATCTCTACTCATAGGTCAAAGGGAGAGGAATTTGAGGATGACTTTTAAATTCTCTAACATAACTTAAAAGTAACTCTAGAAGTTTTTGAAGTTCACATATGATTGCTATACTGCACACAATGCTGATGTGAAGTTAGGACACCAGGGCTCTGCTCTAGACCCTTCCACCAGCAAGCTTTAACCAATACTGAATCTCTGGATCTCAGTAGACTCACATCTGTGAAATAAAGGTATTGTGCTGCAAAACTCAGATGATGCTCTTGTTCCTCTTGAATTCTACTGCTCTAACCTTTCATCTACTAATGAAATCACCTTCAGGCAAATCTTATGAGATGGAAAATACCTCTCTAAAATGCAAAGATCCTTCAGGATATAGAGAGTGGAATGAGATGTAGTCATCCATAAGTAACTAAGAATAAATCATGAATCATGCTGCTAGCTACCTATGTAGATTTTTATATACAACATAATATTGTATATATAATATTAAGATAAAATAATGTGACAAAAAATATACACACAGTTATTTATAAGTATATACGTATATATCTCAGGTAGGAACCTCTAGCTTAAGGAAAATACCACAATGGTTCAGATGCATCTAAAAGGATTCCAATATTGCTTTTACCTTTTATGATATGTGTGTCATAGAATTAAATGGTTTTATATGTAATGGTTGACAATCAAGAATTACATAAAAGTATTATTCTGCTTTTTCTTAGGGATTCACAAATTCAAAAATATGATTACCTTTCCTATGCTGACATCTGGTTGCAGAAAGCAATCTGAATAATTAGCCCATGTTTTATTTGAGCTGTGAATAAAATCCCATGTTCCGTTGGGAGTGCAGTGTCGGAAGGCGGTTCCTGTAAAGACATGGAGGGTACTGAGATGCTCAGTTTCAGTTCCCATAGAGTCTGTTACCAAAAGGAGGCAGAGGAGGAGAAAGATAATTTCTTTTTCAAATTAATAGTTTCAGAAAAACTCAATACCTTTATGATTGAAGTCATAAATATAAGGAGGGCATGGGACAGCTGATATTTTCCCCACTGTTCCTCTGGGCCAACAAATGAGTCCATCCCATTCTGGGAAACAATTACCTTCTGATGAGAAAAAAAATAGAAAGCAGATAAATAAAAATTAGAGAACAAATGCATTCAAAATGCAAAATTTCAGATCACTGCCTGTGGCAAAAAGTAAAACAAACTGGTAACTAACATGTAAATGTCCCAAAATTCACCTACCTTGTCTCTTCATAGACCCATTAATAGGAAACTTTGATTAGCAAAATTAAAATATTCAGACTATTCCAGTATATCCACTATAGTAGTTATAGCAATTGGTATATAGAAAACACTGGAAACCACTGTGAACAACTATAGTATAGTTCTTCCACCTGTCATACATAGCAGCTACATTTTTACTCTAGATTTTTTTAAAATGCTGTTAAAGAACATGACACACAAAACAAATTTAAGATTCAGGTTTATCTTTTTTACCTATAATTTCTTTGAGTCTAATATTCATCTCAAACAAAATTCTCATAAGTTCTGTGCTTCTCAAGATGAATCCAGAGCCTTGTCTTTCTTATAACCTCCACTGCCACCATGACAGTCCACAGCCACCATATGTCCAGCCAGAATTACAGAGATAGTCTTCAGCAGGTCTCCCTGATATTCATATTCTTTCTCTCTCTCTCTCTCTCTCTCTCTCTCTCTCTCTCTCTCTCTCTCT